GTGGAAGAAAGGAGGGGGTCCGTGTCTACAAACGTGCCCATTATGGATGGCTCTCCTGGGCTGCCATGGCACCAATACACCCGGTCTGCAGCCTGGAGGGGCCCGGCGCGCTCTCCGCACAGCCGAGTAATCATTTTTATCCCCGCCATTTCCTAAATAGAAATGGACACGTATGATAAAAGTGTCAGGGCCAGTGTGGGCGACAGGACCTTCTAACTGCATTACATGTCACATCCTCACGTCCCTCTCTGCTTTGCTTTGCCTGCGAACGGCCGTGTTATTGCTTGCAGGAACTTGGCGGTAATATACAGTGTGAGACAAGCAGCTCTTTATGGCCTCAGATTATTTGGTTTGAATGAAAGTGCTGATTTATGTCTGTTTAAGTGAAAAGCTCTGTAAATTCCCTCAGCTGCGCTTCCTGTTCTGGTCCTTCAGGAGCGACTGAGCGGAATGGTAGTGACAACTGAGGCTGGTGTGGAAATGTGTCAGTTGTGGTGTATTTAATATACCTGACAGAAACGTGAAGAAATAAACCAACCTCAAAAACTAAGCCTTTACCTCCTCTAACGTAACACAAATCAAACGCAAACCCAAACATACTCATACTTGCATATGCTACCCAGTGAGCACGCAAATCATCGCATCATCTGGAAAGTATCATGCTCATTTTTTTTTAAAGCCATAGTTGTGTACAAACCTCTGATAAACATCTAAAACCGCAGACAACATCTGCTAAATGTCACTCTAACATTTGGGCTAATCCATATGGAAATGATGTACACATCAAATCAGGGTTATTGTAGTTAACTAAAATTAAAACCTTTTAAAAAAATCATTATTTTAAATAAAATAAACCTTAACTGAAATAAAAAAAAAATATATATAAAAAAAACTTACTTGCAACATTCTCATTTTCATTTATTTTTATTTGATGTACTAAAATAATTAAAACTACAATTTAAATAAATAAATAATATAGACATTAAAAAGCATAAAAAATGACAAAAACACAACATTTCAAAAATTTTAACTGAAATGAAAATAAAATGAATTAAAAATAGAAATATGAAAATGTAAAAATTAAAAGTAATTCAAAATATTAATAAAATCTACATAGTATCAACACGTACTAAAATCATTAAAACTAAAATAAAATTAATATAAACTATAAAAAACATTAATATAAATTATAAAAACATTTAAAACTAATAAAATGACAAAATTGACAAAATGACTAAAACTAACTAAAATTAAAATAAATGGATAAAAATGAAAAAATGAAATCATGGAAATAAAAAGTAATTCAAAATAATAATACAATATAATAAAAACTATTATGCTATCAACTTGATGTACTGAAATAACTAAAACTACAAACATTAATAAACCTAATAATAATAATAATAATAACAAACACACACCAGAAACAAAAAAAATAAAAATCTACAACTAATGCAGCATATTGCCAAAAAACGATTATAGTATCCTGAAGTACTGAAATAAGACTGGATCAACTTGATGTCTTGGCGATTGGTTGGTTGTGTGCATGTGTAGTTGTGTGACTGCTCTTGGAGTCAGTGGAGCAGGGTCATATTGTCCCTGGTGTGGCCTTGGCTCTGTGCGCTGACACTGCATTGTCCAGCACAGCCAGCTGAGCGTCTCACACAAATGACCTCATTCATCCTCGGCCTCTCACACCATTAAACCTCATGGCCTAATATCAACAGCACATACATGAGCTAACACCTGATCAATAGCGCATGGGCCAGGCAGTCTGGGCTGAAGGTGCCGCTCTTTAAATTTGTTTTGTTAGCCGAGTAAATGGTCTCTTCATGTTGACAGCGTCTTGTCTTTGTTTATTTACAAAAGTGGGTTAGCTAGAGTGTCCGTGTTCGGTGGGGTTTGTTTGTACTCTGGGTTTGTTCGCCGCAGGCGTTGATGGATTGTAGCTTCTTTTTTTTTTTTGTGGTTGTGCTTTATGGGAGCGAGTCTTGAAGTCTGTTTGCAAAACCATAAAATGAATGTGTAAATATTTGTTTGTGAAGTAAGTGTAGCGTTGCAAATGTATGACCTTAGTCAATTATGTTAGTGTGTATATATGCGTTCAAACTTGTATTTTGTTTATGGGATTGATTTGAACGACATATAATAAATAAACTAGGTAGTTGACATAAAAATAAAGCAATGTCCCGTGGTATGGCAAAGCCGGCTACTAAATGCAGGCATGTACTTATTTTTTCCCCTATTTTTTCGTTTGTCTGTTTGAAAGAAATGAATACTTTTATTCAGCAAGGATGCATTAAATTGATAAAAAGTGAGGGTAAAGACATTTATAATGTTACAATGGATTTCTATATTAAATAAATGCTGTTCATTTGAACTTTCTATTCATCAAAGAATCCTGAAAAAAAAACATAAGTTATTTTAAATTGTAATAATATTTCACAATATTCCTGTTTTTACTGGATTTTTATCAAATAAATGAAGCCTTACTGACCCCAAATTTTTGAACGATAGTGTGTATTTCTGTTTTTTGTTTTTTTTTGTTTCCCAATATAATGTTCAACTACTCAAATGTAAAACAAATTTATTTAAACTGTTTACCCATCAAGCATACCTGTGTTCTTGTGCGTAATGTGTGTGTGTGTGTGTGTGTGTGTGTGTATGTGTGTGTGTCTTTGTGTCTCTGTCAAACACACAGAGAGGCTTAGCTGCTTGCCAGGCTTCCACAGTGCAATAATAAAGTCAGTAATCTCCTCATTTAGGATTCAGCATATCACAGTATCTTTATGAATGATGTAATGAAGCTCTCAGAAACTCTCAGAACCCCCAAATCACCCACTAGTTAAACTGTCCAAAATACCCAGACCAACCACAGCATACACACACTCGTCTTAGTCCTAGACATTTCTTTCTGCATTTATGATGATTTCTCGCCCCCTGATATAACTGAATAATAGTATGTTAATTTCAGCTTGTGTTTAGTCTGGTTTTAAGGCTGTTTTTTTATGTCTGGCTTTTAAAGCTTTTAAAGCTGATGTGTTGAATGAGAATTAATTGGGATTCACTGAAACATTGCTTACTCTAAAGTGTGCATCCAGTGGATTCCCACAATTCCCATAAGTCTGTATAAAAAGGTAAAACAAAATGGCAAAGAACTGTGAACCGGGCAGCTCTAGATACAAAAAAAAACACTGTTCCTCATGGTTAACGACAATTACTACTACTAGGAAAGTATAAATCAGGATGTGTCCCAATAACAAACACAGAAGGCCGCAGCCAAAGACAAAGTGCGACTTCTTAGAGGGGCATCATTACAAATGCATGTTAAGATTAACATGTTTGATTAAAATCTTTCACAAAAAGCACTTTTTTCTGCTTCATTATTCTCCTATATGAATGGAATTCATTATGCAAACACAGAGAGAGAGAAACAGAGAGAGGCAAGCATGATGAGGAAGTTTGTAATCAATCTTAATGGCTCTTTACTGCTCCAAAGTTCATTATGAATATCAGGCAAACACAATGAGCTATCTTTCACCCTCATATCGATTGCTATGCAAATTTACATACATTTCAAGCAGCCTTGCCTCTGCAGAGAGCAGAACCGGATTGTATAATAAAACAGTTTGTTAAGAACAAAACATAACGACACTTGTGAGAACACTTTCTGCTCATTATTACTCCGTACTTGTGATTTTGGAACAGCAAGCGAGCGCGTTCAGACACGTGTACACGTGCGCCTTTCTGTTTAGCATCGCCTCAGTGTGGAGAGGTGCCATCATGCTGTTGAGTGTGTGTCAGTCGGTGAGTGTCCCTGTCATGTATGGCTGTGAGTACACACACCGTGTGTGCAGTGTGCTGTGAAAATTCGAGAAGGCAGCACTGCAAAACAGAGGAAAAACAAATTCGTACCTACGGGCCTTTTCAGCTCTCTCTCAATACCCCCAGCGCCCTGATCCGTCTCACTTTAACTCAGTCATTTGAACTTTCTATTCATCAAAGAATCCTGAAAAAAAAACATAAGTTATTTTAAATTGTAATAATATTTCACAATATTCCTGTTTTTACTGGATTTTTATCAAATAAATGAAGCCTTACTGACCCCAAATTTTTGAACGATAGTGTGTATTTCTGTTTTTTGTTTTTTTTTGTTTCCCAATATAATGTTCAACTACTCAAATGTAAAACAAATTTATTTAAACTGTTTACCCATCAAGCATACCTGTGTTCTTGTGCGTAATGTGTGTGTGTGTGTGTGTGTGTGTGTGTATGTGTGTGTGTCTTTGTGTCTCTGTCAAACACACAGAGAGGCTTAGCTGCTTGCCAGGCTTCCACAGTGCAATAATAAAGTCAGTAATCTCCTCATTTAGGATTCAGCATATCACAGTATCTTTATGAAGCCTGTAATGAAGCTCTCAGAAACTCTCAGAACCCCCAAATCACCCACTAGTTAAACTGTCCAAAATACCCAGACCAACCACAGCATACACACACTCGTCTTAGTCCTAGACATTTCTTTGTGCATTTATGATGATTTCTCGCCCCCTGTGTTAGCTGAATAATAATATGTTAATTTCAGCTTGTTTTAATTCTGGTTTTAAGGCTGTTTTTTATGTCTGGCTTTTAAAGCTTATGTGTTGAATGAAAATGAATTGGGATCTATTCTTTACGTTCCCATAATTCTGTATAAAAAGGTAAAACAAAATGGCAGAGAACTGTGATCCAGGCAGCTTTAGATACCAAGAATATTGTTTCTTACGGTTAACGACAAACACTACTACTATGAAAGTAGAAATCGGGATGTGTCCCAAATAACAAACACAGAAGGCCACAGACAGTGTGCATCTTCTTAGAGAGGCACCGTTACAAATACATGTTAAGATTAAAACGTTTGATTAAAATCTTTCACAAAAAGAACTTTTTCTGCTTCATTATTCTCCTATATGAATGGAATTCATTATGCAAACACGGAGAGAGAGAAAGAGAGAGAGGCAAGCATGATGAGGAAGTTTGTAATCAATCTTAATGGCTCTTTACTGCTCCAAGGTTCATTATGAATATCAGGCAAACACAATGAGCTATCTTTCACCCTCATATCGATTGCTATGCAAATTTACATACATTTCAAGCAGCCTGGCCTCTGCAGAGAGCAGAACCGGGTTGTATAATAAAACAGTTTGTTAACAACAAAATATAACGGCACTTGTGAGAACACTTTCTGCTCATTATTACGCCGTACTCGTGATTTCGGAACAGCAGGCGAGCGCGTTCAGACACGTGTACACGCGCGCCTTTCTGTTTAGCATCGCCTCAGTGTGGAGAGGTGCCATCACGCTGTTGAATGTGTGTTAGTCGGTGACTATCCCTGTCATGTATGGCTGTGAGTACACACACCGTGTGTGCAGTGTGCTGTGAAAATTCGAGAAGGCAGCACTGCAACACAGAGGAAAAACAAATTCGTACCTACGGGCCTTTTCAGCACTCTCTCAATACCCCCAGCGCCCTGATCCGTCTCACTTTAACTCAAGCATAGAGATGGGCCCGAGTGGATGACGTATTTTCACTCTAATACAGTCTGTAGTTATTTTGGCCTGTTGTGACAGATAGTGGTATTTGCTGACAGACAGAGGCTTGATTGCAGAGCTGACTACTCGTGTGATAGTGCGCCTGTGATTAATGCCTTTATGAAATTCAATCATTTGTCAATAATGAATTTACTCTTTCATTGTTCACGGGTCATGAGGGCAGCAGACGGGCCCAAGCGAGGCAGTATATGTCCTTACATTCTCTTTTTTTTTTTTTTTTTGAAACATTGAGAACTTGTTGCTGGAAACTTGTTGCATTATGTCTGGTTTAGACAGTATCCATCACATTCCTTTACAAATGTGTAGAGATAATAAAGTTTTTGAAAGGGTTTAGTAAGTGAGCATGTCCTGAAAAGAATAGTTTGGCCAAAAATGAACAGTCTGTCATCATTTACTTGTTCCAGACCTGTTTGGGTTTTTACACTTAAAGGGATAGTTCACCCAAAAATGAAAATTCTGTCATTAATTACTCATCCTCATGTTGTTCCAAACCCGTAAGACCTTCATTCATCTTCGGAACACAAATTAAGATATTTTTGATGAAATCCGAGAGCTCTCTGACCCTCCATAGACAGCAAGGGTACTACCAAGATCAAGGCTCAGAAACAAAGCAAGGAAATCTGTAAAATAATTCATGTGACATCAGGGGTTCAACCATAATTTTACGAAGCTATGAGAATACTTTTTGTGAGCAAAGAAAACAAAAATAACAACTTTATTCAACAATTCTTCTCCTCCTCATCCAGTCTCCTGAGACGCACCGCCATTGTGGACAGAGTATCAGGTGGTATGTGCAGTATGTGCGCTTGCTTCCGCTTCATGTAAACAACGCATAAATTGAATAAAGTTGTTATTTTTGTTTTATTTGCAAACAAAAAGTGTTCTCGTAGCTTCATAAAATTACGGTTGAACCCCTGATGTCACATGGACTATTTTACCAATGTCCCTGTTACGTTTCTGGACCTTGATCGTGGTAGTACCCTTGCTGTCTATGAGAGGGTCAGAGAGCTCTCAGTTTTCATCAAAAATACCTTAATTTGTGTTCCGAAGATGAACGAAGGTCTTACGGGTTTGGAATGACTTAATAACTAATAACTTAAATAAATTTTGGGTGAACTATCCCTTTAAGTGTAAAACTCAAACAGGTCTGGAACAAGTAAATGATGACAGACTGTGCATTTTTGGCCAAACTATCCCTTTCAGAACGTGCTCACTAACTAAACCCTTTTAAAATCTTAAAACATATTTTGAAAAATGTCACTGGTGATTTTTTAATTACTTTAATTGACTTTAAGAGTATCAAAATATAATCTTTTTTGTTCCACAATTGAAAAGAGTCATACATCTAGTACGATAAATTGATTCAAAACTGTTTAAGAATATAAAAAGCCTCGCCATATCACTGACCGATCGCTTCTTGTTGTTTATCAGGTCTAAGTATCCGCGGGGCTCAGGAGGAGGACCCGCCGGATCCACAGCTGATGCGTCTTGACAACATGCTTCTGGCAGAGGGCGTGTCGGGACCGGAGAAGGGCGGAGGATCGGCGGCGGCGGCAGCGGCAGCAGCAGCAGCCGGCAGTCCCGCTGACAACGCATAAATTGAATAAAGTTGTTATTTTTGTTTTATTTGCAAACAAAAAGTGTTCTCGTAGCTTCATAAAATTACGGTTGAACCCCTGATGTCACATGGACTATTTTACCAATGTCCCTGTTACGTTTCTGGACCTTGATCGTGGTAGTACCCTTGCTGTCTATGAGAGGGTCAGAGAGCTCTCAGTTTTCATCAAAAATACCTTAATTTGTGTTCCGAAGATGAACGAAGGTCTTACGGGTTTGGAATGACTTAATAACTAATAACTTAAATAAATTTTGGGTGAACTATCCCTTTAAGTGTAAAACTCAAACAGGTCTGGAACAAGTAAATGATGACAGACTGTGCATTTTTGGCCAAACTATCCCTTTCAGAACGTGCTCACTAACTAAACCCTTTTAAAATCTTAAAACATATTTTGAAAAATGTCACTGGTGATTTTTTAATTACTTTAATTGACTTTAAGAGTATCAAAATATAATCTTTTTTGTTCCACAGTTGAAAAGAGTCATACATCTAGTACGATAAATTGATTCAAAACTGTTTAAGAATATAAAAAGCCTCGCCATATCACTGACCGATCGCTTCTTGTTGTTTATCAGGTCTAAGTATCCGCGGGGCTCAGGAGGAGGACCCGCCGGATCCACAGCTGATGCGTCTTGACAACATGCTTCTGGCAGAGGGCGTGTCGGGACCGGAGAAGGGCGGAGGATCGGCGGCGGCGGCAGCGGCAGCAGCAGCAGCCGGCAGTCCCGCTGACAACTCCATCGAGCACTCTGACTACAGGGCCAAACTCTCCCAGATCAGACAGATCTACCATACCGAGCTGGAGAAATATGAGCAGGTGAACGACAGTATGCACTACAGTACAGCAAGACTTTCCCAGCTTGCAGCAAATGTTGTTGTACTGAAATTCATCTTCAGTATGTTTTCTTCTCAATTTAGCTCAAACAAGTCCTATTCAAACTTCAGGGGGGAAAAATGTTATAAAATGTAATGAAAATAATATATATATATTTTTGTAAATGTGTGTGTGTGTGTGTGTGTGTGTATATATATATATAGAGAGAGAGAGAGATATTGAACGTCCCATTTTGGTGTCAGCATTAAATTAAATTTACAACATTTACAAATTATTATATACATAAAAAGCATACCAAATGCATGTAAAGTGTCTACTTTAATGTTTCAGTTGTGGAAATAAAATTTTAAAATATGGATGAAATATTGTTCCATCATCAATCAGTGTAACAGAGATATTTATGTAAAAATGGTTTGAAGAACATTGGCAAAAATTCATAAAGATTTAAAATTACAATTGATCAGTTTTGGGGGACTGCACTGTGATCCTCAAATAGAGTCTTTTAATATGTCATCTAATGATTCTTGTTCTAAATATTCCAGTCACGATTTTTTGGTGTACAAACTATTGTTTGACTGAATGACATTTTATTGTGTGCCATCTGTGAATCATAGGAAAAATGTATGACAGTAATTTTTCACTCTGAAAAAAGTAAAATTAATCAAGATACATTCTAATGTACAGAAAAAAATAATACTGTATTAAACTTCTATTGTTTTTCAAAATCTGATGACCATCTTATAACCGATGGCGTCACTGCAGTTTTGTAAATTGTGACCTTTTCTTTCTTGCGTCTGTTGAACCATATATTCGCCTTTGCATTCGTGTTTGTATTGATTCTGACAAAAACACTTTAATGGCAAAAGCAAATTATGTAGCACTTCATTTATGTACTGTAGAACCAAATCCTTTCCCAGCCTGGTAAGCACTGAAATTGCATATCTAGTTAAGCCCAACCAGATTGTATGGTACAGAGCCAAGAATACTGCAAAATAACTTTGTATCTGCATTCACACATTTGCATTGATCCTATGAGTGTGAATAATCCCAGCTTGCTGTTCTGTTCTGTCTGAATAGATGTTTTTCACTGAAGCTTCATGACAGGTTTAAAGGGAGACCTGGAGGCCTTCAACTGAACTGAAGGTGTCAGAGGTCTAAACCTGAGCAAGCATTTAGCATTTTACAGTCCTGTCTATCATGATTACGATTGAGAGCGGATGTGATTTATGGTGGTATTCAGGCATTAGGACATCTTCAACTTACCTGACCTCTGAACAGCGGTAGTCTAGACATCCTCTTATAAATATTGAGCAGACGCTTTTAGTTACAGTGTGGAGAGCAGCCTCTAAATTGCATAGTGCATTTGAGAGTGTCGCTATGCAGGACTGGCTGCTTCATTGAGGTCATGTATTGATTTTTTAATGGAGCTGACATTAATTTTTGATTCAGCGCTTTAGTTATTTTTCTCATAATCAAGGACGAGTTGAATGAGGGCAATTTTTTTCATATGTGCTATAGTTAAAGTGCTTGGTGTTTTGAGGAGATGCCTTGAAAAATCTAAGTAATAGCTGCATGTCTATTTGCCCTGTGTCAATGACGTGATGATCATTTTTTGCCCGGAACTGCAACCAACATGAATGCAAGTACATCTCTAAGACCTTGTGTATTAAACTAGATTGTACACATTTTTTCCTCTTGTTTGTCATTGACCCCCTAATGTTCATTCTGTACTTGCACCATAAACAATAAAGAATGGTCAGGAGAACACTTTTATTTCTAAATAACAATCCTTTTAATATGATTTGGAAGTTGTTTAGCTGATGGCTTAGCCAGCCAATGGCCTAAATTAGACTGATTAACTTGCAAGCGTTTAAAAGGGGAGTGTGTGGAAAAGGTGGCTCAATCCGTTCACCCAGAGTAAATGCATCTTTCTTAAGGTTGTTCCCCCTTTTAATTATCTAAATGTAAATACTTAACGAATTTTACTCCGAGTAATGAGCTAAAGTGCGCACTACCTAAATTAGTTATTCTAATTAATCATGTATGAACCACTTCTTTAACGAAAAGCTGTTTAAATTCTACTGGCGCTGGGCAGGTGCCAAACTGCAAATCGGCATTTGCATTCATAGATGACTTCACCTATTAAGCCGTTCAAGTCCTCCACAGCACTACAAACAGTATGGATGGTGTTTTTCCCATGCTTTCAAGAGCGGCAGCTTTGAACTTGCTTCAAAAATTGCTGATTGCTGCTCCAGAGAGCTTCAAATGAATGCAGTTGAACTCATGTGCTTCTTCTGCGGAATAACATCAAAGAGCATTTCTGTCACTGTGCTGAGAGTATATAACGATTTTAAAAAGAGGGTCAATCTCTAGGATGTTTTTGGAGTTTTAAGTGAGGATGTGATGCCGGAATTGTATATTCAGAAATTATTTATTAGTGTAGCTGTTGAGTCTCAGCAACAGGTTCTAAAGACTTTAGAGTAATTTAGTTTTGCATAATGCATTTTACACCTACATCCTCACTCAGAATAAAAGCTGTGTCCTCAGCTCAAAATTGTCTTTCTCCACAGGCATGTAACGAGTTCACTACCCACGTCATGAATTTGTTGAGGGAGCAGTCTCGCACACGGCCCATCTCGCCTAAAGAGATCGAGCGCATGGTCAGCATCATCCATCGCAAATTCAGCTCCATCCAAATGCAGCTTAAACAGAGCACCTGTGAGGCCGTCATGATCTTGAGGTCCCGCTTCCTCGATGCCAGGTTAGTATCAGTGTGTGATCTGTCCACATAAATTATTAGGGCTGGGACGATACGCTAATCTGCCGATTCAATACTATATCCCGATACTTGTATGCCGATTCAATATATATTGCGATAACTGAGTATTGCAATTGTATGAGTATTGCGATTGTATAAGTATTGCAATTCGATATTACAATTTGTTATAATTTTAATTTGCTTATTAAAGACTAGACAATGGAAAATACTTGACCATACCCTTAAAGAGACTGTATATGAGTCATATTAAAAACAATGCATCACATCTTTCTGAACTTTTATTTCAGGAGCATACACATACACAGTGTATACTTTAAAGTACCTTGAACCATGAAACTTTCAAGTAGCCTACCAAAACCCTGAACTTGCACATAAATATAATAGTCAAATGTTCAACAAAATGAGTAGAAAAAAAATATTTCTGAAATAAAATAAAGTGCTGTTACTTTGCATGCCGTTTTAGTCATGTTTAGTCATGTTTTCCCAGCAGTGTGTAAAATCCAAAGTGTATTACTTGGGATTCAAAACGTGAAGGTGCAGAAAGAATTCTCAAAGAGGTTTGATCCTCTCCCTCCGCCATGGTTTTGCTTTCTCGCGCCGGCTTGAAACATATACGACGTCATCTAATACAGCAGCACTGAGCACTCAGACCGATTGTTGTATGACAAAGCACCGCAAGAGCTAGAGAGAGCAGATGGCTCCAAATGCTTACGAATGGCTTTCGCGGTACTTTGATGTCATACGCCGATCGGTCTGCGCGCTGCTGTTTCAAGTTGAACACACCTATACATTTCGCCCTCTGTTGGAATAAAAGTGGTAACTTCTCCCCACCCCCTCTAAGGAAAAGTAAAATAATTAAATATAAATGGATTCTGAGATAAACCAATCGATTTTTAAATCGTTTTAAAAAAGAATTGCGATAGTTAGGTGAATCGATTTTTTCTCCCACCCCTATAAATTATAGTATGTGTATTTACATATGAGTTGTATCAGTTGTATTTGAAAGAATTAATCTTCTGCTAATTAATCTATGCAAGAAAGTAATGATTAGAGAATAAGATTTCAAGTCAACCATCAAATATAATGGCCCCAGAAGGTGTGGTCACATTTATGAATCAAGTCATATCAATAGAAATCCGCTCAATCCGATATTTCATGTATGGGCGTTAAAGTTGGTCACATAGTTTTGCATTGTTTTCCATGAACATATTGTTCAAAACGAGGACAAAAGATTAATTATTCCACTAAAAGTTTGTTTTACAGTAATGAAGTTATGCCACTTGAATGCCACTTGGTTTGATATTTTATCTATACAGTGGAATTCAGACGTTTTTTAAGTGTGACTTAAGGTTGTTCAAATACTTAGTTACTTGAAGTAGGAACCATTTTTAGTTCCATTTTGAGTTTATTTGACCTTTAACCTATCCAGTCAGGGTTTAGGCACAGCCACTGATGGTATGGCACCTGTCATCAACCAACCACAATAAAGCATTCATTATTATTCAGCCATTAGCGATTAAGGTGGTCTTGCCAAGACTAGGATTTTAGAGCCTAAAGGCCAACCACTGAACGCAGTCATACTAAGCACCTGAAAGCAGTTAAGAGTTTTATAGAGTGGAAATGAAGTCATTTGCGTTTTGCGGGTAGGAGGTCATCAGCAGGTGGTCCAGATTACTCTAATCACAAACAGTTGGTAGAGGAGATCTGGAGAGTCGTAGAGGGGAGAGAAATGATGCAGTGAACATGAGAAAAGAGCGGATGAGGTCTCGAGGAGAACGCTCAAGTGAAGCGGAAGCACAATCGTTTGGCCGGCCACTCGTGTGAAAGGCATTAAACAAGGCGAGAGAAAGAAGCCAGCGCTTAACCGTGGCGGGGTGGGCCGCAGTGAGTGGCGGTAAGTGCAACTCCATCAGGCCCTGCCCCAGTACTTGAGGAACAGTGTTCAGCTGGCCATGGCCTGATTTCCCTAATGTCCCAAGATACAGCTCTGACTGGGAATGCTTGAGCACCTCTAAACGCCCCCCATCAGAGTGAACGAAAGCGCGATAGAGGGAGAAAGAGAGAGGCTTGCCGCTCTAAACACTGAACATTTCACGCTTCGCTTAGAGCTCAACCGATAATATAACATTGTTCATTTGTTCGCCTACATATGAATTCTGATAATAGCCTTCCCGACTTCATTTCCTGCCAGCAGCTTCATTATGAGTTTGGCCATCACACATGGTTTTATTTGAGTTTCTCTAATTGCCTTCCTCCTCTTTTTTTTCCTCCCGCTTGTCCGACGGCAGACGGAAACGGCGGAACTTCAGCAAGCAGGCAACCGAGATCCTGAATGAGTATTTTTACTCACATCTTAGTAACCCTTACCCCAGCGAAGAGGCCAAAGAGGAGCTGGCTAAGAAGTGCAGCATAACAGTATCCCAGGTGAGGCCACATCTCCCATCCATGTAGCACATGCCCCGTTTGTTGGATAGTCTGGAAAGAATGACTAACAACAGGTCAAAGTCTGAAGACTTAAAGTTCCCGTGCTCAGGGTTTACTTAGGTAAATCCAATGCCATCCCTGCTCTGTCCCATTTAAACTGATCTTAGCTGATTTAAGCTAGTCTTCAGCTGGTCAAACTCTGGGATCTTCAACCCTGCTCTTGGAGGCAAACTGTTCTTCAGAGTTTAGTTCCAACCTGCTCCAACACATCTACCTCCCTGTTGAAAAAAAAGAGCATATGCTTGTTAGGCATGTTTTGAAGAATGGCTGCTGATTTGAGCTGGTTTAAGCTGGTCCTTAGCTGGTCATGTGCTGGTCCTAAGCAACTAGTTCCTGCTCAAGACCAGCTTTGGGCCAGCACTTGACCAGCTTAAACCAGCTCAAACCAGCAGCCATGCTTCAAAACATACCTAACAAGCATATGCTGTTTTTTTCAACAGGGCTCAAAGTGATCCTGAAGACCTTGATTAGGTGGTTCAGGTCTGCTTCATTAAAGGGGTCATATGATGTTGCTAAAAAGAACATTATTTTGTGTATTTGGTGTAAAGAAATGTGTTTATGTGGTTTAAGGTTCAAAAGCCACATTATTTTCCACATACTGTACATTATTGTTTCTCCTCTATGCCCCGCCTTTCTGAAACGCGTCGATTTTTACAAAGCTCATCGGTCTGAAAAGCGAGGTGTGCTCTGATTGGCCAGCTGTCCAGTGCGTTGTGATTGGCCGAATACCTCAAGCGTGTGACGGAAATGTTACGGGCCTTAACATATTGTGATGTCTTGCCCTTGTCCCGGCCGGAGCGACGAGACAAAAACATTAAAACCCATTATAAACGAGGCATTTGTTGCATCCAGTGGGAACATAATTACTGATTATAATGACTTATACTGTCTTTTTACGTGTTG